GGGGGAGGGGGGGCAGGGCACCTCTCGCCCTCCTGGCCGCCAGCGGGGGCGGTGGGCAGACCCTGCAGATCAGATCGTATGCGGGCAGGGCACCACACACGCCACACCACACACACATACGTCATTCATTCGTCGCATGATGGACGTCTGTCTGTTCACATTGACTGACGGGGATGTGGAGGGGTTCGTCTGTGCCTCCTTTGTTCCTGCCAAAGAGCGACCGACCGGGGCCCGACTTCATCTGGATCAAAGCACCTGCACACACACACACACAGGCGTCGTATCCACTGATGGCCATCAGCACATGAAGGCACACGTGACGCACTCATGTGTGTGTATACCTGTGTCCGCCCACAGCTCCTTGAGCAGGTTTCTGCCTTTCAGGTGAGTGCACAGCGTCTTGGTCGCCAGACACACCTAAAGCCACACCATAGATGAGACGGAGGGGTGATGTGTGTGTGTGTGTGTGTTTGAGTACCTCGTGCAGGTCTTCAGTCCTTTCCATGAGGGCGGAGCACCTGTCCTTGTTCTCCAACAGATGATCTGACGGAGAGGAGGGACACAGAGAGATCCCTCACACACAGAGAGAGAGAAGCAGACAGGCACCCTTCCCTCACTCACCAGTGCAGCACGTGTTGAGCGTCTCTAGAGACTCTCGCCAGGTCGTGTGGCACTGCAGAAGCACTCACGCACACACACACTCTCACACACAGACGCACCCACTTGGTACCTTGGAGATGGCCTTCCCGCACTCATACATCAGCAGCTCCCGCAGATCTGACGGCTGCACGTCAACAGCCATTGGCATCACTACACAGCCCAATACCATTGACACGTTCACACAGCCACACAGCCACACCATTCTGCTGCCCAGTTCGCTGATCTCCTCATCGGTCGTAATGCCCACATCCCGCTTCACTGCCTCCTGCAGTCACACACACACACACACACACACACACACGCCGGCCGGGCCCCTTCCTGATGCATCTGCGGGGCTGTCTGCATCTCTGTCCGTGAGAGTGTGTGAGTGTGCGTACCACTTTCCTCCTGACGTCGTTGCACGATGCCATGATCTGGTCGCACGAGGTGATGTGCTTCGAGAGCTCCGACGACTCCGTGGCGACGTCCTCACCACCACCACCACCACCGGCCCGGGCATCTGCAGGCCGGTTCTGCTGCTTCTCTACAAAGATCACACTCATTGTCTGCCCCATGAAAACACACAGGCAATGAATAAGACCGATGCAGACGGCATTGCCTCGTGTGCATCAGCTCACCTGCTTCAAAAGCGCGGCAAAAGCGCCCGTCGTTTCTTCTGGTGGCGAGATAAGCTTGCAGAAGGAAGTGTAGCTCGCACGAGAGGCAGGAGGGGAAAGGGCTGCCAAGATGGTGAGAGGCAGATCAGACACGTGGGGATGCATGGGCGTGGCCGCATCTCTCACTTTCTTTTGTCTGTGTGTTGATCGTGGTTGTGTTGTGTGTGGCTTCGGGTCTACGCAGGCGAAGGCCAAGAAGACGCGCAAGTTCGCTGCCGTCAAGCGGATGATCAATCCCAAGGACGACAGAATGTATGAGCACGGCACAGACACAGAGATGCGTGTGATTCTCTCCCTCTCTCTGTGTGTGGTGTGTGTGTGTCAGCAAGAAGAACCAGGAGAAAGCGAAGGAGCAGCTGACGCAGCAGAAGAAGGGCAACAACGATGTCAAGGACATGTGCGCGTTGACAGACACTCTCAGCACACCTTTACACACACGTGCATCATACGATGTGTGTCCGTTGTGTGTCGTTCGTTTGCAGCCCTTTGGCGTCATCCAGCCTGTTCTTCAACTACAACACGGCGCTTGGTGCGGACACACAGCCACCACACACACACACACACCACACGTGGACGAGTCAGCGCACCTCTGGCGTGGTGTATGCGTGTGCGTGTGTGTAGGTCCGCCGTACCAGGTGTTGGTGGACACCAACTTCATCAACTTCAGCATACAGGTGAGGTGCGGTGCACAGACAGACAGACAGATGGACGACGGTGTGGATGTGGGCTGCGTGCGTGCGTGTGTGCAGCACAAGATGGACATCATCAAGGGAATGGTCGACTGCCTCTACGGCAAATGTATGTGGGTACCCACACACACTCAGAGAGAGAGAGATGGACACACACATGAAGCGTGTGTGTTGTCCATTGATGGGTGCAGGCATCCCCTGCGTCACCGACTGCGTCATCGGCGAGCTTGAGAAGATGGGCCACCGATACAGGCTGGCACTCAGGCTGGCAAAGGTATACATACGCACACCATACACACAACGGCCCCAAGGTTCTATGTGTGTGTTTTCACAGGATGTGCGCTTCAAGCGCCTGACCTGCACGCACAAGGGCACTTATGCGGACGACTGCATCGTCCAGAGGTGCACTGAGGTGAGCAAGGGAGGGAGGGGGGGAGGGAGGGAGGAAGGGAAATGGGCAAACACACGAGGGCGTGTATGTGTGTGTGTGTGCGTGTCGCTGCGCTGCGTGCAGCACAAGTGCTACATTGTGGCGACCAACGATCGGGATCTCAAGAGAAGGATACGCAAGATACCTGGTACGGTAGGCAGGAACACATCTATGTGTGGGTGTTAGTATGGCGTGTGTGTGTGTGGTGGTGTGCACCGCAGGTGTGCCCCTAATGTATGTGACGAACCACAAGTATGCCATCGAGAGGATGCCCGACGCAATCACAGGTACACACACACACACACTCACGAACAACACATCTGTGTGTGTGTGTGTGTGTGTGTCAGCTGTGCCGGCCTCGAAGGTGGTCCCCGCGCTCAAGCCCAAGAAGAAGGGCAGAAAGTGATCCTTCCTTTATCAGATTGATCAATGCTGTGCATCCATCAGCTGTGTATAGGATAGCCAGACGGACAGACAGTGACGTCAGATTTGTCATGCAATAGACACACATGCGTCTCTCATCTTCAGAACACATTAATGTGCTCTCGTTAATATATAACGAATCGAGTCGATAACACGCGCTCACACACAGCACAGCCCACCCCACCCACCCCACATATATCAGATCAATGGCGGCACCTCCGCATCCGCATCACCACCATCATCCGCCCCAGCCGCACCAGCGCTAATCCGCCTCTTCTCCCTCTCCTTGAGCAGCATCCCCTCACCCCCCTCACTGTCTCCCACTTTCTTGACCACATGCAGAGATACCGCACCACCTCGGACACTGCCATTGTTCAGAGGCTGCTGCTGCTGCTGTTGGTCACTCTTGGCTGCTGCTGGGGTGGTCGTGGTTGCAGCTTTGTGTCTCGGTGGTGGGTGTTCCAGGGGCATCGTCACGCGGAGGGCGCCCGTGGTGGCTGAGCGCTGAACCTGCAGTGAGAACAGTTGTTTATGTGCGGATGGATGGATGGATGAGTGTGGGTCGCTTGCCTTGGCAGCAGACGGCTTGACCTCTGCAGGCAGCCGAAATTGGGTCACCTTGCCTGTGCGGTGAGAGACACAGGGAGACACTGTCTGCTGCAGCTGCCCTCTCTCCCTCCCCCTCTCCCTCTCCCTCTGTGTGTGTGCAGTGTACCCTTGACAACACATCTCATATAGTCGGGGTGCACATCCACGTCAATTAGGGATGTGTCCAGATACCTGCACACACAGTGTGCCACGACACGCTCAAAGATGAATCGACTCCCACACACACAAAAGTAGCCGCCTGCCAGTTAGTTCATGGCTCCTCATGGCACACTGACTTGGGAACGAACACTTCGATGGCGATCTGTCCGGGGTCGGTGAAGTCGTCAATTGTGAAGTGGTACCGGCCTTCATTGCACTGCCTGACCAGGCCCTGGCTCGTGTAGACCGACGCAGGAACACGCTGACACACACATACACAGACACACACAGATGGACAGTCAGGGGTCTGGGCATCTCTCACCTCACCTCTGTTTTCTCCTGTTTGTTTCTGCCCTCCTTCTCCTCTCTCTCCTGCGCCAGCTCACGGTACATCTCGGTGCGCGACTCGCGCGTGTAGGCCCCCTCGCCCCCACCCTCACTGCACCCAGCTGCAGCACACAAGGGAATTGGGGAACGTGTCAAAAGTGCCCGAGTCGGTCACTCTCACTTACATAGTTCTTTCTTCCTCCGCTCTTCTTTGGTGTGCTCAATGTAGCGATGGAGATCGGCCTCTAAGGCGGGCAGCACCCTCTGGGCCTGGCAGGCCATGTGGTCGATGAACGAACGACAAAACGAACGCATCATCCATTCATCAAAACTTCGCCGAGATCACCTGAATTCTCTCCGAGTGTGTGATCTCCTTGCCGTCGAGCGCACGGAGGTTCGGCAGAGAAGCAGCCACATACTGGCGATACCCAGACCAGCTAGCTCCACACACAGACAGACACATGCCATTGGATGCCCCTCCCTCCTGCCCGTGTGTCGCATGTGCTGCTCACTCTGTGCAGGGGTTGCCGAGAAGGTATAGCTCCTCGAGCATCGTGTTGGCCTGCAGGCTGGCCACCGACGCCGCCAAAGCATCCGCCTCGATGAAGTTCACCGTCAGGTCCAGCTTCCTGCGTGTCAGTCAAATCAACGAACGCCAGACGGACGGACGGCAGAATCCACTGGTTTGTTCATTTCTTCTTACTTGAGTGATTCGCATCCTTCCAGGTTCTCGATGATTGTGATGTTGTTGAGAGCGAGGTTGAGGTACTCCAGCTCCTTGAGCTTCCGCACATTCTCTATCCTCCCTGATCCACACATCCACACCAAAAGGAAGAGGCGTCCATCCAATGGCATCAGTCAGTCAGTGTACCCACCGACCAATGATGTTGTTCTGAAGGTAGAGGATCTTGAGGTGTCGGCACAGCTGCTCCAGGTTCTCTATCTTCTCGATCTCGAACTGGTGCAGCGACACCTCCTCTAGGTCAGCAAGGATGCCGTCATTGTGCTCAGCACGGCGGCGAACCAACGACTCGTCGATGCGCATCTCTTTCCGGCCGTTGAAATGTGTGGGCCTGATGTGGGGGCGTCTTCCCCCCACCGTCTCCCTAAGAAAGTTTCTCCGCGATGGCTTCTTCTGCCTGTCGGCTGTTGTAGGTGGCTGTGGCTCTGTTGCTCTCCCCTTTGGCTCATGCAGCCCCTCTGTCCGCGAGCACCACAGCCAACCTCACCGACAGACGCCATGGAGTGCAGGTGAATCAGATGCATGCATCGCGTCAGACTCTCCTTGTTGCTTTCAGGTGGTGCGGCTTCACGAGCACACCGACACCGACACCGATCAGCAGCCTTTCGCCGACGGCGTGAACTCGTGCGCTACTTCGAATGTGCTGTGCCAGGATCCTGAGCACGTCTGCTACAGACTCATCTACAGGAAGGGGCGCAAGTGAGTACCACGGTGTGTCCGTGTCTCTCTCTCTCTCTCTGTCTCTGTCACTTTCTGTATCGGTGTGGATCCGGATGGATGGGCAGGCACGACAAAGGCATCGCAAAGTACCTTAATCGGGGCAAACAGCTCTCTGGCAAGCTCGGCGGGCTGTTTGCCCCGATTAAGGAGTTCACCTTCGGCGTGTGTGTGAAGAACACCGACAAGGACCTCGACAACTGGTGCCCCGAGGCCATCCGCAGCTCCCACTTCCCACCCGAAATGAAAGGCATGGAGGGCAGACTTCAGAAGCGGGTGTGCGAAGTTACTGAAATCGCAGGATGTTTCACCGGCCGATGCGAGATTCAGGTGCCGCGAGACGAACAGGTGACTTCTAAGAGGCAGAAGCACGCAGACACGAGAGCAGATGTTTGTCGTGTGTTGTGTGTGCAGTGGGGTACCTTGTTCCTCTACAATCAGGTCTACAAGCGGCTCGTGGACGTGTGGGGCTGGTCGGAGATGAAGAACACCTGCAAGCCGGAAAAGTGCAAGCTGGCATAGGCTATAAGGTTCAGTATTGCCTACAGCCTACAAGTGCACAGTGGATGGGGAGACGGCACACAAGAAAGACAAGGGAGGGATGCGATAGTTGAAGCGATGGATGGATGGATGGATGGACGCATGTGCTTTCGGTCGCTGCCAAGAGAGTCCGCACGCACACACGCGTTGATCTTAAGACAGACATCAATCAATCGGTCTGTCTGTCTATCGGCCTGTACACACACGAAACTACCGCCCGTATCTATGCACACCGCACACACGCCACCATCATACCTCCGCCACTACTCACACCCGCCCCCGCCCCCGCCCCCCCTTCCATCACATCACGTGTGTGGCGGCCGATGGTGGTGCGCAGCAAATGGCGGCATCATGACCACAGGCGGATGCACACCGGGGCGCAGAAACATGCTCCCATGGTGATGGTGAGGGGGCGGTGGGCGGACGGGCAACGGGGGCGGGGGCGGTCTCGCAGGCGCCATGTTGACCTCTCGTCTAGTCGACGCGTCAGGGTGCACTTCGCCGCAGCCACACGCATCAGGGGGTGGGGCGTAGGCAAACATGGTGGGCGGCTGGGGGGGCGTGGGCAGGTGCGGCACGCCCAGCTCGGGGAACGACGCCCAGCACACGCCGCCGCGACGACTCAGACGGCGGCACTCGGCCAGCACGGGGGGCGACGAATGCAACACCCAGCGGAAAAATCCCTGGGGCACACATCCATCCATCCATCAAGTCCGCAGATGGTGTGCCTTTCGGCTCACCTGCAGCCGCGGGTATTTGGTCTCCATCAGGTGGGTGCCGAATATGACACAGTCGTCCCAGAGGATGCCGAACATGAAGATGTCACTCAGGGACGGCTGCCGCGACGATGAGCCCGCATACCCGATGCACCGGTCCTGGTCGTGCTCGTCGCACTCCGGGCCCAGCAGGAGGGCACTGGCACGGTCGTAGTGGTGCACACGACACACCTGAAGGCAAGGCATCCGCGGACAGACAGAGGAGGGAATCAATGGGCACCGCTGGTTGGCGATGGTGTGATGGTGTGATGGTGGTTTCTGTTTCTACGTGCCTTTGCGTATCGGTTCTTGTCGGCAGCTTTGCCTGATTTCCCCGATGCGGCCGATGCGGCTGCTGCTGCCGCAGCTGCTGCAGCTGCTAGTGCATCTCGCCACGCAGAGAAGGCCTCCAACTGCACACCAGACACCAACACAGGTGCGTCTTGGGACCTCGGTATCATGTGTTTCTGAGGTTGCCGACTGTCTGACCACTGTGTCAGTCCGCCAGTCGAGCTGCGAGTCATTGCCATAGTCGCCCACACGACGGGCCAGGTACCGTGCAGTCGGCACCAAACCGAAGAACGGCACACCCTGCAAAAACCAACCCACACAACACATCCACACATCTATAGAGAGCCCGTCTGTGTGCACGCCACGCGGAGGGAGGCTGTGTGACGAATCAATCGCTCACGTACGTCGAGTACGATCATGGGCAGCTTAACAGGCTGCCCATCAGGGGCGGTGAGGCCACGGCCACCAGCACGTTTGGCAGGGTGGGTGTCGTCTTCTGACTCGTGTGGGTGGATGGTGGTGTGGAAGGGGATACTGTGATGCAGCAGATACAGCGACAGGTACCTGCAGAGATGAAGGATGAAGGGAGAGGGCACGATGACGTGAAGTGGTGCAGCCTCGCTGTGGTGCTGATGTGGTGTGTATGCTCTTACCCGCCACTGCCCAAAACGCCCCCCTGCACACACACACACACACACACGCACACACACATGCGAAAAGAGAAAAACACATAGCATGCCATAATCTGCTCATCAGTCCTTCCATCACCCCACCTGCATCTCCAGTCGCTTCAGCTCCACGTGTCCAATGCGCCTCTGCTTCGCCGCATACACCTGCACCACGCACACACACACACACACACACGGACGCACACACCGTCTCATGTGCCAGCCAGCAGAGTGTCGCCTACTGTGTGTTTGGCAGGTTCGATGAATGGGACGGCTTCACACATGCAAGTGGGCGATGAGGAGAGGGCTCCCGGTGGCGGCGGACCGCTCGCGGCCCTCGATGCGGACCCGGCGGTAGCAGCAACACTTGACGCGTCATTCGCGGACGCGGGAGGCCCTGGACCGGCATACATCTTCTCTAGGCGGCGGCGGCAGATCTGATTCTACTCAAGGCCTCGTCGGGCGACACTTCGCCTTCCGTTTCGCCTGCAGCAGCGGTTTCAGGGAGCACCCTACGTGGCCTGACCCTGTCGGTCTGTCCAACATGAAACAGGCACCCTAACATGCAACCCGGACACGAAACACGCAGCACGCAGAGGGCAGATGCAGCAGACAGGAGGATATGCAATGCGCTGCGAACGACGGCCACATACAAGCAGGCACACAGCGTCGCACACACGCCACCCCACAGCAGCAGCTTGAAGGCGGTGTGCGTGCGTGCGTCAGGCACCATGACTCCATACGTAGGTACCGCCCATCCCCAGGTGGCCAGCCAGTGCAGATCGCCCAGTCACACACAAACACGCCCTGATAACAACCACGCACGGAGTGCTGGAGGTTTCCGTTTCGCCTCACATGCGAGCTCAAACTTGAAGGAACGACGAACGCAGATCTCGGGGAAATAAGGGACAGGTGTGCCTAACAAGAGCAGCACCGACAAGAATCTGCTTCACATCTGCCCAGCGCCTCTTCCTCTCTTTCTTCCTCTGTCTGTCTGGTGTCTGTTGTGTCTGTCTGTTGTGTGCAGTGTGTGTGAGCGAGGGTGTCAGTCAGTGATTATGCAGAAGCTGTTCAAGGCCATCGAGAAGGGCGACGTAGACGCCCTCCAGACGCAGCTCGCCACCAGCCCAAACCTGCTCGCCAAGAACAAAAAACAGTACACCCCACTCATTGTCGCGGTGCAATCAGGTCAGTCAGCTCACCAGCGCACTCGACGCAAGAGAGCCTTCCATGGTTGGATGCATATGGATGCAGGCGATTTGTCGGTTCTCGAGGCTATGCGCGACAGCAAGCTGCAGCTGGGGGTCAATGAGAGGGACGGCGACCAGGGGTGGACGCCGCTCATCCACGCCATTGCGTCTGTCGGGGGCGATCTGGAGCTCATTCGGTTCCTCGTCGAGGAGCTGAAAGCTGACATAAAGGTGAGGCGAGGTGAGGCGAGACCAGTCATGAATGATTGTGGTTGTCCATGTGCATGTGTGGCGATGGTGTGTGTGTGTGGGTTCAGTGTGTTGATCGTGATGAGGGTCTCAGTCCGCTGCATTGGGCGTCGCGGCTCAACCAGACCAACGTCATCGAGTACCTCCTCAGCAGGGGGGGAAAGGCGTACATCGACACGCAGGTGTGTGATGTGTTGGTGTACTGGGTGGCCACTGCACGGGCAATCTGTCTGTTTCTGTGTCTGTGTGTGTGTGTGTGTGTGATTGGTTCAATGATTTGTGTGTGTGCAGTCAAGCGACGATCCCCTCTCCCTGACTCCCCTTCACTGCGCCATCCGCAAGAACCAGGAGGAGGCCTGTGTGCTGCTCATCGAGAGAGGGGCGAACGTTAATACCAAGGCAAGAAAGCAATGAAGGGCTGGCTGGCGGATGCATCGATCCACGGACGTGCCTCTGTTGTGTGTGTGTGTGTGTGAAAGCAGGACAGTGACGGCAACACGTCGTTGCACGCGGCTCTGAAGCAGCACCTGTTGAATGTCGCCGCCCTCGTCGCCGAGCAGCCGGCATCCCAGCAGACCGCCACCACACAAGATGGACAAAACCGTTAGCCCCCCCTCCCCCCATCACACACGCACACATACGAGACACCTTCTCCATGTGTGTGTGTGTGTGTGTGTGATGCAGTTGACGGCGAGACGGCTCTGCACATCGCTGTGTCTTTGGGTTTGGACACGGTGGCATCTTTGCTGGTCAAGCGGGGCTGGTCGGAGACCGCCAAGAATGCCAAGGGCGAGACGCCAAACGACCTCAGAGAGAAGCGACACGCGAAACAGGCCGCAGAAATCGAAGCTAAGCAGCAGGTGAGAAGGGGAGGGAACACACACACACACACACACACGCACCCAAGGGCAGGCAGCCCTTCATCCACTCACGACAGCAGTCACTGTGAGTGATGTCTAACAGGCGCGGGAGGCCAAAGAGGTGCGGAAGCGCCGCGGTGTGGAGGAGGAGATGGACCACAGCGAGGTGACGGCCTGGCTGCGCAAGTACAACCTGCCCGACCTCGTGCCCGTCTTCTTCTCAAAGGGCTACCGCTACACCGACGAGGCCTTCTACGAGATTGACGACCACAGACTCAAGAAGATGGGGCTCTCCATCCAACAGAGCAGGTCAGTCAGTCAGTCAGTGCCCCAAACACACACACACACACACACACACACGGTCAGACAGAAAGAGTCATTCGTGATGCATGCGACCACTTGCTCGTCTGTCTGTCTGTCGGTTTGTGTGTGGCTCGGCTATGCACATCCATCAGGGCATTTTTCGACGCCATAGCCGAGGAGGAGGCCGAGAGGATTCGCGAGCAGGAACGGGCTGAGGAGGAGATCAAGCAGGAGGCCCAGAAGGCCAACCGCATGCAGACATACATCGTGGTGGCCGTCATCGTCGCCCTCTTCGTCCTCATCTATATCGCCCTCATGTTCTTCGTCAAGTACAAATCACGTGGCACCAGCAGGATCCTCTGAGTGATGCATTGTAGGGCGACTGAGTGAGTCGTCTGGGGGGTCTCTGTACCTGCACGTCTAGGTCAGTTTGTTTATTGACATCCATCCAGCCATGAGTCATGCAGTCGAGTGAGTGCACGCCGTCGGACGATTAGATGACTGAGTGTTCGTACGACTGCTTTCCGTGAACAAACGAGCGTCATAGCGCATAGATCTCGGAGTGCATGCAATCGGAGTGCATGCAATAGATCTGGGAGCTGTGGGGGAGTCAATTGGGGGCGTCTCGTGGCGTCTCAAGTCCTCCACCTCGCGCGGGCATCCCCGCCTGAGTTTCGCAGCCATGCAGCCTGCTGCGTGCGTCAAGCCCTTCTTTGTCATCTGTTTGAGTGTTGCGGTGTCCATGCTGCCCCTTCAAGCAGCCGGAAGACTGGCGGGCAGAGACAACTCCACGGCCCTACTGGCCCTGCTGACGTCTTCCTGGAACTGCTGTAAGGTTGCCTCCTTCTAGTCTGTGGCTGGCTTCACTCATCAATCACTCTGTGTCGCGTGTCCTGCAGTTGAGAATATGCAATGCTCCTTCCCGGGACACGAGGAGGTACTGGTTGAGGAAGAGGAGGCAAAGCGCGCCACCATGACGGGACCCTACAGCAAGAGACAGTCCAGAATCACCTACGAACTCCCCGCGGCGCCTCCCTCACAGAAACCCCCACAATGCCGAACGGGCTTTCAGGTCTTGACTGAACAATGGGGCCACAAGACGCATCACGTGTGGACGTCTCACGTGTGCCCAGTGCATGAGCAAGGCCGGCTTCGAGGAAACTTTCGGAGGCTTTCTCCCTTCTGGGTATCCGGGTTCCAACCTGGCCGCAGATGCCTACCTCGAGGTTCGCTTCGCGAGGGACGAGAGCAAAGAACGCTTTCTCGCAATGTTTGCCGCACAGGGACGTCAGCCCTGCACGCACAAGGGGATGGAGGGTGCCATCGGCATGTTCAAGAAGTACGAGGAACTGGAGGTCAAGATCAAGAGAAAGCGAGAGAAAGGCAAAGACACAGCCGAATACGAGAAAAAGCTCGAGGCCGTTCGCACAGAGCTTTACGACAAAGTCAAAACAAAGTGAGCCTGAGTGCCCGCCGAATGATAGACTGACACGTGTTTGATCACTTGCATCTGTCTTGTCAGGTTCTTTGACTTGGGGTGTGTCTGCTGCAAGGCGATGACTAGGGCCAAGCCAACCGAGACAGCAGCTGCCCCCTCCACGACATCTCCGTCGAAGGCGTCGTCCTTCAAGGTAAGATCTTTCGCCACCGACGAGCCGTGAGGCCTGCGGGCAATTGTCGGCAATGTCCTGCAGCCTCCCGCCAAAAAACAGTCCCGCATGGACCCTTCGTTCGAATTCATACTCGACAATATTCCGGGGCTCGGCTCGAATGCGAAGAAGCTCATCAAAAATCTCTAATTCCGGCGCCTCGTGCGGCACGAGGCAATGTTTCCCCCAGACAGAGACAGAGGGATACAGAGAGAGCGTCTCTCTTCTGACAAATAGATGCCTTGTTGTGTGGTTGGCGTGGGTTTTGCGAGACACGCGGAGAGACACGTCGATGGGGCGAAGAAGCGAATGAGCGAATGAACCAACCAACCAACTAACGAATGAACGTCGATGGCCGGGCATGGCAAAGGCACTGACTAAAGAAACACTCACACCAACACACAGATTTCCACCAACCCGTGCAATCCTTCCTCCCTCTTTTCTCACCTCTGTGCGTGGCTCTTTCCCGTCGTGATGGGGCCATGTTGTTGACCAAATAAACCGTCTCATTGGCCTGCGTGCATTCATCCTTGTGTGCCCACCGAGACAGTCTCTTACTCGGCGTTCTTAGAGAGACCGGCAACATCGCCATGAGCCGAGGCGATCGCCGCACCCTCCTCTGAGCTGCATGTTGTGTGGGCGGCCAACACCTGCCAACCCAGCTAAGTGAGGGCAGTCCTTAGAGCTGAGACATGGCACGGTCACGCTAACCAATTCCTCATGTCTCCAGCAGAGACTCACACACGGCACAGGACGGGACGGGACGTATTGTTCGTGCATGCCTGTCAACGTCGTGTGTGTTGGTTTTTTTTCTTTTCAGGAACCGTGACTGTACCCGTCCACGCACGTACAACAGTACACGCACAGAGCAGACGATTCATACTGTGAGTCTGTCAGTCAATCCACTTGACCCACGCCACTCCGACCCCACCCCGGCCACCCCCACCACACACCATGCTTCATGCATCCATCCATCCATCCATCAACCAAGATATCTGTCTCCTGGCAACCCTGCCGGGTGCGTCTGTTGCTGTGGCCAGCCAGACTGCTGCAGACAGGACGGCTGTCTCTGTACACACGAGATACGAGATGACATTCACCAAGCAGTCACATCTCGAGGCAACTACAAAGCATTTCAGCTGCCCTCGAGCCACTCACAGCACTTCCACACAGATGTTTGTATGCACCTGAGGCCTTCAGACGAGCCGGCCAAAGCGGTGCATTTATGAACAAAAATATGGATATGCACACACACACACAAAAAAAATGTATATGCGTTGCAGGCACCGGCGACACAGAGACGCGTACATTACACGTCGTGTGTGCGCGCACAGCAGATCGAGTGTGTTTCCGTCAACCACAAAAAATAAATGCTGCCTCACTCGCAGCACGAAAAATAAATCGACAGATACCCAACACGAAAAATAAATGCACGCGCGTCGACTACGACGCAGCGGAAGAGTGCTGGCAGGCAGCCATGGCGGCCACGGCGTCATAAACGGCCTCGGCCGACACGGACAATCCCACACTGTCCTTCTCGTCACTGCTCAGCCGATGCCAATCGACACGCATGAGATGATGGCAGGGGGGCGTCAGAGCGGCCGTGTGGGAGTCGCTCTGCAAATGCGATTGGGTCGAGCTGACGGGCGACACCGAGCCGGTCATAGGCAAATCATCTGCTGCATGGCCACATGGCGTCTCGACCACTGTGGGCGCCAGACTCGCGAAGATTTCCGGAATGGCCTCCTGCATCCAACGAACACATGAGCACATACACTCGCATATACACTGGCATACAAATCTCTGGCTGACCGGTGGGCTGCCTTTCTCGATGAGTGTTCGTTTGGCCTTGCGGAACGCCTCATAGAGCCCCCGCCACCCGCCGGTGTGCTGCTGGTCTGTCGACGCCTCGGTGTCGGCCTTCTCCAAATCACTGCCGTCGGCCATCCCGCTGAGGGCCGCCTGGTGAATCTGCTCTCTGCTGACGAGCTCGTCCACCACATAGCACAAGTTGGCCTGGAGGTCGTGTAATGTGATGCCCTCAGACACCTCAACGCTGACATAATAATACCCAGGCAGGCAGGCAGCGCTGACATGATGGACAGAGGAGAGGACAGAAGATGAGAGAGCGGTCTCAATGGCCATACATGTGTGTGTGGTGCGGACCTGTCCGCTGGTTGTGTTTCGATGTGGGAGGCCCCCAGCTTGCCGGACTCCAGTCGTGTTGACACTGAACGCATCACCATCATCACGTGTGTGTGTGTGTGGTCGATATCATGATTCTTAAGTAGCAAGCTGACCTTTGTCGGAGTGCTGGTTGCGAAGTATATTGGAGAGGTCGCTCGTCCGCATGTGCCGCCAACCCTGGACACACAGGTCGGCCGATCATACGCACGGAGGGGTTCTCTTTCCTTTGCCTTACGGTGGCTTCGCGGTCGTCGGGTCTCGGCAGATGGACGACCACGTAGCCCTGTCGACGGCTTTGCATCTCCACTCGCCTTTGCCGCAGGCTCTGCACCAGGAACGCATGGCTCCACAGAAACTCATGGCTGAACAAACCACCAGACACACAGACACGCCAAGAGAGCGTCATTCGCTATGCATTCCTGTGCGAGTGTGCTTACAAGTCGCCGGGCACGTGAGTGAGTTTGAGTCTCTCGACAGCGTCCTGCACGGACGCTGACGTCAGCTGCATGGCCGTCACCACACGATGGACCGGACGGCCGACAGACGGATGGCACCCCACTGATACAGCAGCGGCAGCAGCAGGGGTATGGCCCTCGGTAGAGAGGGCCGCGCTGGACCAGTCATAGAAGACCTTCGGCGAGATGCGCCGTTTCTCCTCCTCTCTGCGGATGAGCCACGACATAAGGCAGCCCGTCACACAACCAGACATCAAACGAGCTGCAAACGATATGAGACAACACACGCAGACAGATGGAAGAATGATGATAATCCTGTGCTCTTCCGCTGCCCACCGAAAGCCTTTTTGCGGTCGGTGAGTGCCGTGTATCGGTAGCCCACTTGCAGCAGACCATACCGACATATCTGCGCCGCCAGCATGATATAATGCACCAAGTTTGCGACAATGGCAACCAGCACGAGGCCGATCGTCAGCTCCAGAGAGGTCCCCTCGGGCAGCATAACGACAAAGTGCATCACGAACAGCGACATGAGCCACACCAGCAGACCCCGCAGCTCGGTCCGATTGAGAATGTCCATGCTGCCTCCATCGAATGGCCAAACAGCGAATTGCAGCGCCAGACACACAGCGGCTACCACCGTCCAGCCCAGCAGCTGTTGGCGGGGCTGAGCCGTTGCTTGCTGTGCGATCAACAACACCAATACACGTCTCATCGCAAGCACAGCGTCCCAATAGTAGAAGTTTTTGCGATACCCGACATATAGGAAGCCGACCCTTCGGCGCGTGCGATAGTTCTGCAGGCCCTCTCTGTGCCGCCACAGAAATGCCACGCCACACACCACTGGGGAGAATGTCCACAGCAATAGACCAGTCACGGCAATCCACAGAAACGGGGCGTGCTCGGCCGATCGACAGATGACATGAGAGTCGAGGTCCATTCTCGGCCGCATGTCATCCATCGGGTTAGTGGGCAGCAGGCTGACACTTTTTTCTGCAGCGATAGGCGTGACACCGTCCACATATGGGTAAGGCCGGCAGCGCAGGAGGGCCAGCATGCTCTTGGTGACGGTGGGGTGGATGAAGGTAAGGATGACGACCATCATCGTGCCCCGGTTGTCGAGCCACTGCCGCCATCGGCCGCTCTTGCGGGGCTCCGCTGGGGAAGGCTGGCAAGAGGGCGGCGTCACTGGCTCGGTTCGTGAGTTCTCTTGGAAGGTGACCGATCGCTGGCGAGGGTCCTGTGCGGCGGTTTCGTCTTCTTTGCCGTTGGTCACAGATGGCGGCACCGAGAGGGCTCGGAGGTGGGTGTCGGCGGCCAATGAGGTCGATCCGTCGCTGTCAACGCGCCTTCTTGCCCTGAATGCATTACGCACTCGGTCAAACCCGCCTGCTGCAGCCACGACACGGGCCAGAAACGGCCACCGTGCATCGCTTTTCAGAGTACTTGTGTGTGGTTACCAATGAGAGGCACAATGGCAAGCCAGACGATTGGCAACCCCAGCCACATTGCGTGGCGATAGAGCACGCACTTGTCGCCCACATATGGCCTCAGCAGACACTCCCATATCTGGTAGCTTTGCGGACGCCGCCACTCCATGCGAAGAAGGGGCCGACCAGTGAGGATATCTCGTCGCCCCAGAGGGACTCGTCGAACACGAGGAAGGCCAAACCGCACACCTGCACTCACGTACGGCAACAAGATACACGCGATGGAATGTGGGTGCATATGTCGGTCTGTCTTTCCTCTTACTGCGGTGATGTGTGAGAGTCCGATTTTGATCAGCTGCGAGGGCACCTCAGCACGCAGAGATGTCCCCGCCCTGAACAGAAACACGGGCAGCACGGAGGTCGACACACACAGGAGACGCAAAGGTCGATTGACGGCCTCGCGTGAGAGGTACACGGCTGCATGCTGACCGTTCCGCGAGTGCTGTCAGGATGAAGATGGCAATCAGAGTGGCCACGATGAGTAGCAGGTTGATGAGAACAATCACCCACAGCGGGGCACATGGGGCGCACGGCTGCTGGGGCGTGTGACGCGAGAAACCCGTCTTGCACCGGTTGCATACGAATCCCTCATGCCCCTCCTGACAAAACGACAAGGCAGACGAGCATAAGACTGGCAACTGTCAGAGTGATGTAATGGGCTCCTACCGAGCATATGTTAAGTCCATTCATCCTGTTGGTGCCTTTGCAGGCGGAGGGCAATGGACAGCGCATAACGACGGGAAGCAGAGTCAGGCCAGAACCATACCTGAATAGAGCACACCCCGTCTGCTGGATCTTACTCAATTGCGGCACTCGCTGTTCACCCTTACGTCGTCACTTCTCGTGTGCCGTTCTTGTACGAGTCGTTAGATTGCAGCTGGACAGTGAGCTGGAAGAAGCCCGGCAGCACACTCGCATTGTAGTTGACGGGAACAGAGCAGTTCAACCCAGGCAAACAATCCCGGCAGGTCCATGTGACGCGACTCCCACCAGCACCGCCCTTTTCGGAATTGTGTACGCCGACAGATCCAGCCGTGCACGGCGCACACGGTTCGTCGTCGCGCTTCTCATAAGCAAGGGGACAAAAACATTTTGTTGAGCCCTCATCGGACACTGTAAGCACATACTCATAGACCAACAGACCAGCAGTGAAAGTCGCAAGAGTGATCGTCTTGTGCCTGTCATGTCTCTCACCTGCATCATCGGGACAGTCCTTGCATGTTTTGGTGCCGATTTGTCTGTTGGAGAACTTGTTGGGTGGGCACTTGGCGCACATCATGCCGACGCCCTCGTAGCCGCCCACACACCGACATAGCTTCTCAGAGTTAAAGGTGTCGTCTACCTGTGCGTTGCGTCAGACAGACACAACACGCATACGTACCCGGATGCACACTAATGGGTGGATCTGTATGGGGATGACTGACCTCAATCTGGTGGAAAATGGAGCAGAACTCGGTGCATTCGTACTCGCCCTCCTCGCCTTCTATGCCACGCACCAAGTAACCTACACGTATATCACATTCACCACACAAACAGTATGTATGCCAAGGAAGTGAATTGGTTCGTGCACTTGCCTTGTGGATCGGGCACCAGGGGCTTCGAAGTGCTCATCCGGCTGAAGTTCTTCCGCAAATCCTGGTCAGAGGTACCACACGCAGAGCACACAGAGGAACGGTATGAGTGCATTGCGGGAAGAGGAAGGAAAATGGTGTGTGGATCGCTCACTAACTGACCTCGATATCCGTGTCGGTGACCGCGGCAAACCTCAGGTCGGGGTTCTCGGTGAAGCGGGCGTATTCGACATCGAACACGTCCCACTCGCCGTAGCCGGTAGCAATCGTCACGAGGGAGTTGTTGTGGAAATCGGCGTGGTTGAGCTTTTCCAGCCTCACGCCCCCCGTGTCGATGGCCGTGATGCTGTTGTCCCTCATGTGCACTGACGCCAAGCTGGGAAAACCCCACAATGTTTGCAGCATCGCGTTCGACAACTGCATGGAGGAACAAACCCACACAGACGGGAGAGTGCCCACTCATCAGCGTTTGTTCGGCAGGAGTGGGAGGGGGGGGTTACCGATAGCCCCTGGTCAAGCGTGCGAATGTCGAAGCGCTGCACTTCCTGGGGGTTCAACGCGACAAAGGACTCGCAACGCATCGCGCCGTAGAGGCCGCAATTCGCCGCAGTCAGCACCATCAAGCTGACAGGAACACACACAGGCAGAAGGTCGATTTCAGTCGTGGAAACCGACACATGCAAGGGAAGATTGCATACAAGCAACATACTTCTTTCTGCCACTTGAGCGGCATTAGGAAGTCGGTGACGTCGACATTGATGGGGTTGTTCGAGACGTCCAGGTCGGTCAGCGAGCCCCAGTCGGGCGGGGCGACACGCGGATCCAGCAGCTGCCGCATCACGTTCGAGTCTGTTAGAATCACGCACATGACCATGCATCACCACCTGCCCGCCTCTGCCTCTCTCTCTCTCTCTGTGTGTGTGTGTGTGTGTGTATGTGTCTGTGTGTGTCGGGAGCTCACTGAGTTGCCCCAATTGGCAGAATCCATCCGGGGTGCGGCCCCAAATGGGCCAGCCTGTCCGGTTGATACGATTGTTGGCGAGGTAGAGCGTCTCCAGGCTGGGCATCGACCGAAAGCCCTCCGGCAGCGCCGTCAGCCGGTTGTCGCGCAAGTCCAGGTAACGCAACCTGTTTATCAAGACACACAAAGACCATCCATCTATCCCTCATGTCTGTCTATCTGTCTGTCTGTCTGTCTGTTCATTGGCCTGGTGGCTTACGATCGTGGGATGGATCCATTGCCGGAGAATCCCGTTATAAGGTTGCTGTGGAGATCGGCGTACTCAAGGTTGGGGAAGACGGACAGGTCGGGCGATAACTCGAAAAGGTTGGAGTGGACGTCCAGCCGACGGATGCTCTCGTAAACTGGCCCACTGAGGTTACGGCCCACCAAACCCACCAGCCTGACACACCAGCCATCCATCCATCCATCCACAGTATGTCGGCGGGTGGCGCTCCGCACCTACCGGTTGTTGGATCCATCGAATCTGGTGAGGTTCTCAAAGCTCTCAAAGCCGAAGGGCAGATGGCCACCAAACTGACACACAGCCACCAACAGCACAGACACAAGCATTTGCCAAGTGCCCTTCCCCTTTGTGTGCCTTTCTTGCTCACCGAGTTGTTGGACACCCGCAGCGCCTCGAGCGACGTGAGGTTGCTCAGCGGCTCCAGAGTGCCGGAGAAGTTGTTGTTGCGCAAGTCGAGATACTTGACTGACCTCCAGCCACTCAACGTGTCCGGCAGCGTACCGGAAAGCTGCATACACAAACAACAATTGTGGACAGGGAGAGTGCGTCATTGTGTGTGTGTGTGTGTGTGTACCTGGTTGTAAGCGACCGTGAGTTGTTGCAGCTTGCTGAGCTGCCCCAGCTCCGGTGGCATCGGCCCGCTGAAGCCCGGCCACTGCCTCTCCAGACTCAGAAACGTCAGGTTGGCCGCATTGCCCAGGGAAGCCGGCACTGGACCGGAAAACTGATGACAGAGAGAGAAACAGGCAGTTGTTGACATACACAGGCATTCTCAAATACCCATCTGCGCTTATGCTGGTTGTGCTCTGCCTTACCCTGTTGAACGACACATCCAGCTGTCGCAGGCTGTCCATCCTGGTCCCCAGTCCGTCCGGCAGCGGCCCACTGAACCGATTGTTGGTCAGAAGCAGCACCCGCAGCCGCCTCAGCTGCACCAGCGACCCGGGCAGCTCACCACTCAGCTCGTTATTGGCCAGCGTCAGCTCGTCCAAGCGGGAGAGGGTGCCCAGGTCGCCAGGCAGATGGCCCGAGAGGCCGGTGCCATCGGGCTTCAGTCGGGTGAGGTTGCGGCAAGACGTTACACTGGCGGGGAAGGGTCCGTCCATCTCCTTGTTGTCCCATATCTCCAGGACGCGTAGCCTCCTGAGATTTCCGATGTCTTCAGGGATAGACCCTGAGAAGCTCGTCGATGTTAGTGTGAGGGCCTCGAGGCGTGGTAGACTGGTGATGGAGGGTGGGATGGAACCGTTGAGGGCATGCATCTCCTGCTGAATGTACAGGCCCTTGAGATACGACAGCTCGCCGATAGTGGTGGGAAGCGGCCCTGCCAAGGGGCCCTGGTATGGACAAACAGCACAGACACAAACATGTGGGTGGATGAAGGAGCTGATGTGCGTATGAGATGCAGCTCACCGCTCCCAACAGGACGAGGGCGCGTAAAGAGGTCACTTTGGAAAGCTCATCGGAAAGCGTCCCCTGCATGGGCACCTGGTAGGACCAGAGGCACATCACGTGCCGCAGCCGATAGAAAGCATCCGAAAAGACGAGAGGCCTCCCCCGTCGCTGCTGCAAGATCCCCGGTACATTCGATATCTCTCTGTCGCCGGGAAACCCCGTCAGAACGATCAGGTAGCCCTCTCGCGGGCCGCCGTCCGCCAGCGCCTCGCTCAGCCGCACACAGGTGATGAAGGGGACGATGCAAAGCTTGTCCTCGAAGATGGATCTCGTCTCGTTGGGAGCCAACCCGGCCTCGTGAGACCACTCAAACAATGCGGCCGCATCCTCTCGGCACGAATCGCAGCTGACAAGCTCTTCCATCTCGGTGTAGGGGAGGATGTTGTCGCCTCGCTGCACTGCATCATCGGTCACCACATCGGCCGGGCGGAAGACGAGAGAGAGCTGCAGAAGCTTCAGCCGCCTGGGATCACGCCAGCCTGGAGGGAGGTCAGGGGATGGATCCGTCTCATTGGCGGCCTGGAGGATCCGCTGCAGGGGCGATGACGCCGCCACCGACGATAAGACGGTCAAAAAGAGGACAGATGGCAACATCACGATCACGTCGGCGCAGCGAGATCAGCAAATGTCATCGTCAAAACCTCCGCCTGAGCCGCGAAGGAGAGCCAGGCCTCCTCGCCCTGCCCTCCTCGTGCACCGCAAGCCCGCTCTATTGGTTAACAGATGCGCACGGAAACAAGAGAGAGATGCAGGTGTTGGCGATGTGTTGGCGGTGTGTTGGTGCGCCGTGCGCTCACGCTTTGCAGGTGAGAGAGGAGTGGAGGCTGCTTCGTTGCCGAGTGGAGCCGCTCTGCATCAGACATCATGTGACAAACATCAAACAGACACAGCCCTTTGCTTTCAAACGTTGTTTTCTTTGTTTGTTTCTCTTGCATCTCGTCTGCCCTCTCTGCCTGTCTTTCGGCTGTCTGCTTGCCTTCCTCAGTTTGTCTGTTTGCTCACCTGTTTGGTTGATGGTGGGTGTCGCTCAAATGAGAAGGGATCAGTTATCAGCACATCACGAGATCCTTCTCTCAGTGACAAGATCGCGTGGTCAGCCGCTTCGTCTTGATCTTGCGGATTTCCGGCAGATGCGTCTTGTGAGGTCTATCTGCATCCTGTTCCTCACAAAGTTTCATGAGTCGAGAATAGGAGACGAAATCCCGCAAACCCTACATTCTTTCGGTTATAGCACACTTCTCACTGCCAGGTGTTCATCGCCACTTGGCTGGGAATGAGGGCCATCTCCATCTGCGGGCATCGTCCGAGAGGGAGCAACTCGCCGATTTATGGACAGGTGCAGACCCGCCCGTTGGTGTCCTTCATCCAGCCCACGACCTATGCAAACCCACCAGCGGACTGGGGGCAGGAGGTCGGGATTCTCCGTGACGTGGGAGCCTACTTGGACGTGCTGCGCAGCACCAGCCACACCCACACGGAGCGGCCGGCAGGGGGAGGGAGGGTGTCTGACGTGGAGTGGAATAAGCGCCACCTCCAGCTGCGGGCATCATTCGATCGGGCGGAGCAGCTCAGCGAGCGCTTCACCCAGCAGCAGAGGGACGAGTTGAAGGTAATCCGTGGGGCGATGGAGGTACGTCTGTGGCAGGAAGGGCTCACACAAGCAGGAGAAGAAGAAAAGCACGGCGGTTGGTTGCATGTGTGTTCGTGTAGGTCCGTTTGAATGCGCTCATGACAGCTCCCCGCCAGCACCAGCCCTGTGTCGCACCACCAGCTCCTGCCGCTGGCCCATCGACACGTCAGCCATCCTCACCACACACGCATCAGCACCTGCATGGATGGATGGATGGATGTCTTTGAATGCAGGTGGCCGGCCCGTCAACCCCCCGCCCACCTGGTACGAGACCACCAATGGTACGCAACTCACGCGCTGCGCACAACACACGCCTCCCATTCGCGTGTGTCGTGCAGAGCCTGCCTCTGAGCAGGTGATCCGCGTGCTGGCCCATGGCAGGAGGGCAATGCTCGACCGCAGAGCAGACAGAGGGGAGCGCCATGAGCTGTTCGTGGAGTCTCTGCAGCGTGAGATGAGGGATGCACTGGGCCGGCTGGAAGAGCACAAGTCATCAGGAAAATGCAGGCCGACACCGAGGAGAAAAATGACCAGGCGACACAGACTCAGAAGGTAGGCACATGGATAATCTTAACTCTCGCCTCCCCCCACACCTTGAGTGCGGTGCCGTGCCGTAATCCGTCTATCTGCGTGGTGTCTCTTGTTGTGCGCTTGTAACCGCTTCAGAAATCTGCCGCCGACATGGCCATACAAACCGACGCGGTAAGCACTTTCACACACAAATCCTCCGGCGAGGTGCCTTGGATGAGTTGACTGTCGTGTCTTGCTCCCTCCCTCCTTCTTTCTCTCTCTCTGTGTGTGTGTGTGTGTGTGTGTCTTGCCATCATAGCAGTCAAAGCCAGGGTTTTTTGCCAAGTTGTACATGAGTTTCATGAGTGCGTGCTGCTGGCGCTGCCCGTCCACCCCACTTCAGGAAGATGAGATAGTTGTGCGTGGGGGTGGGCGGGGCTGAGGGCTTAGGGCTTCACCCCCTATCCCCACTGAGTGATGTGTGTGTGTCGCTGCGCACTGAAAGTCGGCCTTGCCGTATGGTGCTCGGTCGGAAGGGTCGCCCCGGGTGCTGGCCGGTGCACCACGCCCCGCCGACGAGTAGGGGCAATGCGACACAAGACATCAATTCAGTGAGGAGAGGCGAGGGAAGGCCCAAGTGATGAAGAGAGAGACACTCGATTGATGCAGAGCAGCGAGCCAAGCGTACGTACGTCTGTGGAAGAGAGAACAGAGACGGATGAAGTCACTGATGTGAAAGATACAAAGAGAGTGTGCATAGCAGTGAGCCTTTCATCGTTGCCTACATTTTATATCTGCTTGTTCTCTGGTGACGGCACCCCTGCATACTGAAAGATGTCAGACACTGGCATATGCATGTTTCTTGACTGTTTCTTGTTGATAGACGTTGTCAAATTTGCTTGATAACGACCACGATCAGTGTCTGCAATCGAACGCAACACCCTCGTCAGGTAGCAAAGTCGTAGAAAAGACAATGACCCAGACTCATCAGGGAAGACGACGGACAAAACAGGGCAGGCGTCAAGTCACATGCTTAACCCCTACCACGACTTAAACGGGGCTTCTGTCTCCCAGCAGAGACACAAAAAACAGCAATCGTCGATGTCTCCATCTCTATAGAGAATGTCTGCTCACACATGCCAGACATCCAGCAATTGACAGACCCCTCCCGCCCTGTCGAGGGTGTTTCACTCTATCTCGGGGGAAAGGTATACAGGCTGCATCCAGTTTGCGCGGGCGGCAGAACCGCATACACGATCGGAGGGACGAACGCCTCGCCTTCTCTGCAGAGGCGGCAAGTGAGCGGGCAGATATCCCCCACTGTGGTCTCCGAGGGCACGGTTGGCGGGAGGCCCGGGATGCCAGGGGTGTCGGCAAATCTGGTCAGGAGATCTGCGAGTGTGATGGTGCAGTCCTGCTCAGTCATGAAGTACAGGAAAGAGCAGTCGATCCTCAAATCTCGTCCCACTTCTTCGACAGCCTTGAGGTCCTCACACACGCCTGACACGAGGCCTCTGTACTCGTCAGGCAGCTCACACTCGATACCTGTGGGGGCCGGTGAAATCTCGCCAGGAGCTGGAAAAACGAAGAAAGAACACATGCAGGCATGTTCTTGGGGGACGTGGCAGGCCCCCTGCCTTGCCAACTGGCTCACCCACCTTGTCTGATGCCGATTGGAGGGCCGACTTGGGATGGGACGAGCTCAAAAGCCTCCGCCTCCGCAGCGGGCACGCAGCTCGGCACTTGTGGGACGCCGCCGACGACTGTGAGTCCTGCGCCTCCGTCATGCAAGCGGCCGCCACTGAGACATGTCAGTGTGATCTGCTCGATGGTCGAGTAGCCCAGGAACCGCAGCGAGGAGTCTGGGCATTTTATGGTGTAGGTCTCGCCGGTCTTGATGAAGCGGCTGACGGGAGTGACACCTCTTCGTACCGACGTTGGAATGTCCGGCGCCTCGCAGTCACCCTGGCAGTCGCCGTCGTCAAAGTTGCACGACGCCACGTTGCACGGCGCTTCACAGTTGAGGTTCCTCCGCTCCCACAACTCGCAGCCCGGCGCGCACTCTGAACGAGCCAATGAGGCACATGTTGGTCATGTGTAAGCACGCCATGCGAACGAACCTTCACACAAGCCGCAGCTCGCTCGGCACCCGTCCCTCACGCGCGCCTCTGGCGGGACGTCGTCGGGGAAGGGCTGATTGAGGCGTTGTGCCAGATCGAAGAAGAACTCGTCGCATGTTGCCGCGAAGAGGATAAACCTGCAATCGAAGCCGCCGGACAGGCGGGCAATGTTCGGATCGTCCTCGCAGGTTGCGCCAGCTGGACGGAAGCGACAGATATGTAAGGCACCGTATGATGTATGCAGACTTGATGGGCCCGGCCCGATTCAACTTGCTCTAATGACTGACGTACGGCATTTGAATTGGTTGCAGACTCTTCGCTCTTTGAGACTTGAGGGGCAGGGCCGGCCACCCGTGGCTGGCACCTACATATGTTAACACATACACACACGGGCGGTTTGCAAGGAGAGAAGCCAGCCAACTCGAGTCGCCAGCTCGCTTTGCCTCTTCCTTCCCCCCCTCTTTAGATTGCCCGTCCGTCCTTTGTTTGACCTACCTGTACTTGTCGCGTCCGTATCTGCTGCCCATAAGTGCCACTCTCGAAGCAGCTGGCCGAGCATTCACTCCACTCCGTCCAAGCAGACACCACGCAATCGCCACGAGCTGAAACGAGAGAGAGAAGAGAAACCAACACGTACTTATCTTCTTGGGGGACGTGGCAGGCCCCCTCCCTTGCCAACTGGCTCACCCACCTTGTCTGATGCCAATTGGAGGGCCGACTTGAGATGAGGCGAGCTCGTTCTGCTCGCATGCCGCCGCCTCCTGGGGCCTTCCGCATGGGCTTGTGTTGCAAGCAACTGTTTCATCGAGTGGTGGGCACGCAAAGTCACCAGCACATGGAGGTGTCTGATGAAGAAGAATGTCAGTTAATAGCAGATAAAACGTCAAGAGAGGGAATTTGATAACATGGTGCTACCGTTGCGGTCCGCGCTCTGGTCTTGATGCCCCCTCCACAGGATTTGGTGCAGGAGGTCCAGTCGCTCCAGGCGGACACGACACAATCCGAGATAGAGCAATCGCTCGCTGAGGGCGCGACCGGAGGAAGGGGGATGAAGTCGCCTTCATTGCCTTGGGCGCTCGAAAGGGCCACGATGGACAAGAATATCGCTGCGCGACGAAGAATGCGCTGCATTTTGGGGCCACCGCCGAGGCGCAGGGAGAGGGATTTGAGGGGCTGATGGCCCAACCAACAACGGTCCTTCTGTGCCTTTTGCTCTTCTCTGTGAGAAGCCCCACTCAAAGGGAGGGAGGGAACTAAAGGAAATATTTCGGTCGAATTATTGTAGATCGACGATCGGTGGTCGGTTCTTTGCCAGGTCGGTTGCAGAACGTGGCTTAGAGAGTCGATGAAGGAACAGCGTCTCGAGGGATTCATTCATTCATTCAACCTTGTTCATGTTTGTCGCATGATTGAGGGTTGGTCGATGTTGACGCAGTTCATGAGTTACATTCATTGATTGATTGATTCATTCATTCATTCACAGTGAGAGTGCGAGTGCACCTTCCAGGAAGGGTCGGTCAGCCAATGCATAGAGAGAACATTCACTCTAGCCACACACCGAAGGTACTGCCTGCAGGCAAGTCCGGTGGCCCATCCAACGAAGTGTCGGAACGTTGTGCACACACATTACCCGAGAGCATTGTCTGCCGTTAGTACATATGCAGCGACGAACACACTTGCTCATCTCATCCATCTGGTCAGGTGTGCGCAACATCGCACAAAAGCCTAGACGACGCCATCTACACGCTTCTGCCTCACCACAGATGGCTGCCTCATTGATCCCCATCACACCCCCACAAAGCGACACACTCAGCCACCGCTCTCCCTTTCCCTTCGCCGTCGTCATGCTCTATCGGCAGCAGCATCGGCATGGTCGCCATATCCGTCTCGCGAGCCCTTCGCCCTCCCTCCGGTCCTCCCTGCAGCCATCGCCTCTGCAGCATCTCTGGCGGGAGCTTGATGCTGATCTCACGAGGGTCCAAGGCGGACTGCGAAGGCATCTCCCTACTCTGCAGCATGGAATGATACCGGCCGACGATGGTCTTGACGTCGGGCAGCATGTCGACTCTCGTCGTGGGGGGTCCGAGGGGTGGCGATGGCGGGGGGAGGGGATAGTCGCTCGGCGATGCAGAGAGTGTCTCCACCTGGCTCGGACGGTTGCTGGCGCTGGGGGACGACCGACGGCTCAGAAGGGCGAGAGGTGGCGAGGGGTGGGCGGTTGACGAGCTGCTGGTGGTCGTGGTGGTCGTGGTGGACAGTCTCGTGGCGTGCCGCTTGGACGACGGCAGCGCTTCTGTAGTGCGATGGGAGGCCCTCGCCTTGCCGTTGAAGAGGAGAGGGGGCAGCGACAAACTCAGCGCTTGAACGAGAGGAATCTCGTGCCCACAATCACCACTGTCACCACATGCGTCCTCCCTCCTGACAGCCGCAGACGCGCCGAAGACTCTCGGCTGATGGTGCTGCTGGTCGTTGTCCTTTGCTGTGGCTGTGAGGACGCTCGCCGGGTGGAACGGGGGAGGGGAAGGGGGGCCGGCGGCAGACTCGTCACCGTCACAGACAGAGAGACATTTGGCCCGGGGGAGTGGATGGGGCAGGGCTGGCAGCACCGGCAAGGAAGGAAACGCCTGCCAGTGCTCGTGACTCAAGGTGGCCGACCAGTGGTACCTGAAAACCAAATAAAGGAGGAGCTGAACCGCTCTTTGATTTCTGCGTCTGTGCTGTTTTCACCCTTTAAGGGCTCCCACGATTGCGCTGCGCCACTCCGACGCGCCAGACACCTTGTCTAACGGCTCCTGCATGCAACACATCAGAGCCGCAGTAACGTGCATCACGTGTGTCTGCATTCCCATCGATGTTCTTACGTGATTGCCCCTCAGTGTCGGTCCCGCCAGCTGTGGATACTCGTACTTAAGCTGCGCCTGGTAGAAATGTTCCAGCCCCCTCACTGCCCTCGACGCATCCGTGCCCTCCGCCCCAGTCCACATGAGAGCGCGACGCTCCCTCGCGGCGTCGTCTGGCGGGTCGCCAGTCGGCATTGGGCTTGGGGCGTCCTCCAAGATGGAGAAGGGCGGGATGAGCTCGATGGATGGGTGTGCGGGCGGGGTCGGGAGGAGGGGGGCTGGGCCTGGCTATGCAAAGAACGGCACATGAGAGGGGTCATGGGGAAAAAGGCCTGCCTGTGATGCCCACCTGGCTTGACGATGTGTCTGAAGGGGTCTTGTCTGAATGAGACATCACCCGGCTGTTGCGTGGTGGTGCCACCGCCGCCACTGTCAGATGCCACCTGGTGCTGGAATGGCACGATGTGGCAGACGTCGCTCATGCGCTCCTGGAGGAAGACCGCCAGCTTGGTGAAGCCCAGAGACTGAAAATGGAGGTTCTCGCCGTGCTTCAACCGATACAGCTCACGCACCTGCGACAGACACACGCCTGCAGTGCAGGCAGGATACAGGAGACAAAAAGCAAGCGGCCAATGGGCAATGGTGTCCATCTATCTGCATGCCGACTTGCCTCTCGGATGCGTCTCCAGCATCTCCGCGAGTTTCCTCTTGATCTGCGCCACACGCAAGGCCTCCCCACTCATGCCGGGATGCAGCATGAGGCTGCCACCCACACACGCATCGTCGCTCTCCGCTCTGAACGGCGGCGTGACGCTGGGCTGCGGTGGATGGTTGCTGCTCTTGAGGAGCTCGGTCTGGAAACGCTGATTGGCGCGGGCCCACAGAGCTCTGGTGAGTGGGCTGCAGGCCACCAGGGGCTTGATGCAGTTGTTGTCGTAACTGAGACAGGAAGAAAAGACCGTGCTTACATGCAAGAGAGGTGGTGGTCCATGTGAATGTGTTGAGTTGCCCACCCTGCCAGGTTGAGGTCGAGGGTGAGCTGGATCAGCTGACACAGCCGCCCTAACGTCAAGCCACGCAATAATGGAGGACCTGAGCAACACATCAACATGTGGAAGCCAGCCTTTTTCCCTGCTCCGGGTGTGTTGTATTGCCTGATCGTTTGATCTCGCTGGCCATGAGGAATCGCCCGCCCCCAAAGCCGCCCAGTGCCCCCATGCCGATCCCCGCACCTGACATAGACACACATCGCCAGCCCACTCGCCCACCCCGCATCCTACCGTCTTGTGTCTCACTCACCGAGAGTGCCCTGCCCTCTGGCGATCTGGTTGGCGGCCACGCGCATCTTGTCTAGGATGTACAGCAGCAGCACGCCAAAGTACCCACAGCTATAGTCATATGGAATGACCGATCCGCTCGGATCGATAAACCCCTCAAAGCCCTCGGGCGTTTGCTGCAGATAGATGTGCGCATCCCTCCCGTGCGAACCCCCCCCACCCCCTCCCGCTCCCCCACTGCCAGACGCCCTTGTGTTGGGCGAGGAATCATCGCCGTGGCTGCTGCTGCTGCTGCTGCCGACCTGCGACACCTGGAAGACATCTGGCGTCTGGCTGCACAGATCCAAGAAGTGCTGATGCAGGTACCCGCAGCAACACACACTGGTGGTGGTGCGCTGCCCGCCCTCCTCAGCCCCCCGGCCCCCCTTGTCCGACCGATGATGCCGCATGCGCTCCAGCCGCCTCCTGACCTCGCTGCTCAGCGGGCGGATCTGCTGTGCATACAGCTCACGCACAAGGGACTGGAGGATGCTGATGTGGTCCTGGCGCGAGAAGCCGCACGAGCAGTAGGACGCCCGAAACACAGTCGCGTTGGTGAATACAGTGGCATGGGGTGCGGCTCCTTCCTTGGGCTTGAAAGGGGGAGGGGGCGGCCACTGAGTAGTGCGGCCATGTCCATGGCTGTGCGTGCGGCCCCGTCCTTTGCTGTTGAATGTGGTGTGCCGTGGAGGGGGCAGCGGGCCGCGGTGGCCATTCGTCACGCCGGGGCTGCCGGAGTGATCTCTCCTCTCCCATCCATTCGGGCCGTCGTCTCGGCCGGCAGCAGGCACCATGAACGGTGGTGCATTCTCGTGCTGCCGCTCACTGTAGGGGAAGAAGTGGTATGGCGGCGCATCTAATGGACTCAGATCGCCCTCGTCCGTCCAGAAGGGGACCGTTGGCTGCTGCTGCTGCTGACGTCCTGAGCTGAAGCCGTCATAGCTTGAATGAGGGCTGTCGGCGGCCTGCGATGGATAAAAATGAGCAGAATCGATGAAGGGATCGGAATAAGCCGAGTAGGCATCCCCATAGAACGGTGGCGCATGCCAAGAGCCGCTCTGCATCATCAGCCAGCCGTCACCGCCAAGTTACACCATAACAGTCGCTCCAAAACACCATCTTGTGTCGCATTATTTGGCTATAGAGGCATCCCACATGCCGTCGGAATACGCCGCTGGCCAACCGAATCCCCGTGTTTACATATGCATCGTGCGAGCTTGCAGCAAAGGCTTTGGTGAAAGTCAGAATGTTGCCTCGGCCTCCAGATGATGAGGATGAATGGGATCCGACCAAGACGGAGACGAAAGGCAGCGCTCAGGGCACCAAGGGAGGCGTGATGCGGGTGGACCTGGCGTCAGGCAACATTCGCTTGCAGCCGCACTTCAACCCCTGGCAACGTAGGCACGAAAACGAGATGCCCAGACAGACAGACAGGCGAATCGTTCGTTCTCGGCTGGCCTTCTTGTGGTTTGTTGCTGCTTCCATCAGCTTCTGAGGAGGCGCCGATACAGGGAGGAGTGAGGGATGATACCAGAGAGGCAGCACGGCATGCGTCATGTGTGTGGTGTGATGGATGGCCTGCTGCAGGATGAGCTCTATGACCCTGATGCCGATGACGAAGACGCCACTTGGGTCCAGACACACCTACGTAAGCACAGGAAGCACCCGCACCAACAATCGTGATGGATGCCCTCACTCGGCCACGTTTTCTTCTTTCCTTTCACTCAGGTCATGGCATCCCCCGCACGTCCGACGAGCCACCGCCTGACGATGAGCCGCCAGATGCTAACCAAGAAGCGCAAGAAGAAGAGGCCGAGAGGCAGGACAATGCCATGGCGGAAGATGAGAATGGTGACCGTGACGAGACGATGGCGTCAGTGTTCGAGGAGCATCGCGAGAGGCTGCCATGGAAGCTGGCGCAGAAGGCGCGGAGGGAGGCGGCGTCCGCGTCGGATGGAGTGCTCAACTGCATGGGATGCTTCACGCCTCTGTGCTACCAGTCGCAGCGGTGATCCATACACACACAACGACGGCAACACACACACACACACACACACACATGAATTCAATGAGTGTGGAGATCTCCCCCTCCCTTGCTGTGTCTTGTGTTGTGTTGGTGCAGGCACGAGAAATATGCCCATCAGTATCGCGCCATCGAGGCCGTTCACTGCCGCATCGACCCCTCCCACATTCTCAACCCTGCATCTCTCACACTCAAGCCACGTGCCCCGCCCGGCCACCCCGACAGCGGGCAGGAGGACGACCCGGTGAGTCCTGTGTTCTGCGCCGAGTGTGGGACGCTGGTCGGTGCGCACGATGACGAGGGCATCTACCATTTTTTCCAAGTCATCGCCAGCGATGGATGACGGATGATATATATGGTTGGCGGCGTCAGCGTCGTCTGCCTGCTGGTGGGGCCTGTATGTGTAATGGGTGGGTGGGTGTATTCTTGTCTGTCTGTCTGTGGTGTCACTCTTGAGTGTAGGCATGTGAAGGACAAGTCAGTCACTGTCTGTCTGTGTGTGTGTGTCGATCCATGTGGATATTTATTGCATGTGTGTGTCAACAAGTACCATCCATTCATCTGGAATACTACAAAGGGTCGGTCCTGTCCTCCCATCACACGCGAAATACCACTCGTCACATCCATCATTCCATCATTCGTCCCTCAGTGCCGTCTCACACATCGATGAAGACAAGGCAGAGGCGTGGTTGTCCTCTAGCGACCGCCGGATGGCCTCCTCAATCTGCTCCTGCTCTGTCTGGGGCACAGCAGGGGGATGCTCACGATGATGATGATGGGGTGGGGTCGGAGCCACCCACCCAGCAGGTGGGGGTGGCACCTGGCGGGGGCTCGGTGGGAACCAGTCGTCAACGTACTCATCGCCCTCCCCTTCCCCTTGCTCATCCTCTTGCCGTGGCTGCATATCGGGGCGGCCATTGGCTGCCCTCTCTCCCCCCTCCCAGTCATCGAACCAGCCGTCTGTCGTGGCGCTGAGCGGCTCCTCGTCACTTGTGAGAGGCCCACGAGAGAAGGCCGATAGCTCTGAGCCGATAGCGGCCCTGACAAAGGCCAGCTGCTCCCGCATCAGCCGTGCCTCACGAGAGCCAACGTGCGGACCCATCGACACACACGGGGAGGGGGCGAAGAAGGCGGGCGAGAAGGCTTGTGCTGGCTGAGCTGTTGGCTGCACTGCCGGCTGGTGGCTGATGCCGCGCCGCTTGGCGTAGTCGGTGTACCTGTTCTTGAGGCGGATGAGCTCCTCGGGGAAGACCATCCATGGGAAAGACAGAAAGTCGCGAACAGGCGTCTCGGAGTCGTCATCGAGGCCCATTCCCCTGGACACAGGCAGGATCAGGATGCCGATCGTCTGTCTGCCTGTGTGTGCTGTGCGCATGAGTGGCTTACAGCTGGGCCAGGACAGATAAGTCTTGCCGCGTGACGACGTAGGCGGCTGATGCTCGCGCGAGGCGAAGGTCCACAACAGTGTCGTCACCTGCATTGGCTGAGGTGACTGGAGCGGCCAGCTGCTGCTGCATGGACTCGCGCAGGATGGTCAGCTCCACTGACAGCTGACAATGGAATACACGGATAGACGAGTGTGTGTGCTGTGTGCCTGTCCGTGTGTCGACTTCACTGCTGACCTTGGTGGCAGCATCCCGTTCTCTGGCGGTGGGCTCCTCTTGCCACAGAGCGACGCACCCCATACACGCCTGCAAACCAGCGCATCATCGCACGTGCGAACCGGCCGGGAAGGTCGGATGGTGCGTCAGTCACCTCAGCTTCTTTCGCCACGCCATACTTCCGCATCAAACACGACAGCTGCGGGCGGCACAAACACGCACGCTGCACTTGGATGGATGATGTCGGGTCCCTCTCCTCTGCTCTGCATGCACCTGGTGGTTCCACATGTCGCGGTGCCTTCTCATGTCGTCCTGGTGCCTCTCATAGTCGCGATGCACCAGCTGCCAGTCCACAGCAGGGGGCAGCGGCTTGTCCCTCGGCCACACCCAGGCAGCGTCGCCGTCATTGTCAGTCTCGGGCTCATCCTCCGGGCCGATGGTGCTGACGCCGCTGCTTCCAACGGCGGCCCCCTCGCTGTCGCCATTGTAGGTGGTCTCCTCCGGTGTGTCTACACCACCATACACACACACACACAAGGATGGCGGGTTTTCTGTGTGTATGGGTCTATCTCTCACCGGTCTGTTGGCTCATGCTTACAATGGCACCAACGGTCTCCGCTTCCACTGCCGATGTTGTTGCCACGGCCTTCTCGCCAACACCCTCCCCCTTGATGTGCCCGTACGACGGCACCAGAGTGCGGCGAGCAGCCGCCAGCCGCGCCAAGGGGCGGCGGATGAAGAAGTCGATCGGGTGACCAGTGGTGCTGGTGCTGGTGCAGCTGAGTGTGGGGCTGGAGAGGCACGCGAGCGTGGCGGCGTGGGTGCTGACCTCCATCTCGTAGGTCACCGAGGGACGGGTGAGGGAATCGCCAAGAGGGCTGCACGAGCACAGAGAGACCACAGACAGACAGACGACAGACATGAAGGGGGTCTGTGTCAGCGGCTTTCTATCTCTTTCTGCGTACTTTTCGCCTCCGATGGGACGTTCCTCGATCCACACGATCTCTCCGGTGAGATGGTGCGTCTGGGCCCAGAAGCTATATAGACGGGCAACGAGCTCATCCTGCACACACATGACATGGGGAGTCGTTTCCTGCACCACATTGGTCTCCGTGTGGATGCATCGGGCCGTAGAGGACCATGTCAGCGGTGCAGTTGAGGACCTCCACTCTGCGCGGCTTGCGGAAAAACTGCTCCAGGTGGCCAGCGCCCTCTCCTAAACACACAACACATCCATTCACGAAATGAGAGCTTTTCGTGTGTGGCGGGGCGGGGCGGGGCTTGCTCACGGAATCCTGGTGCGCTGATTTCTGCTGCAGGGCTGAGTGTGTTCTTGTTGGCCTCAAAGGCAGCACGGAAGCCCTCGGCATCACCCACCGTCTGCAGAACCACACACACACACACACACCCGTGCCCATACAGACGGACAATTTCTGTGAGCTGGGCTGACCAGGAAGATGATGTCGATGGGCGAGCAGCACGTGTGTGTGTCTGGTGGGCGGATGAGCACGTCCACGTAGCTGCTGTTGCTCTCCTTGAGCATGGCCATCAGGCTGCCGAAGGCCGCCACGAAGCTCCTGCTGTGGTTGTGCAGCTGAGGGTTCTCACAGGGGGTCAGCTCAGCCGCTGCAGAGCACACACATGAAACACAGAGATAGGAAGAAGCCGATGGCCGACTGTGTGTGTGGTCTCACCGATGTTGGTCACTCTGAGGATTCTGTCCGTCTTGGGCTCTGGCATTGGGAAGGCCTTATCGGCTGCTGTCGAGCGCCCCTCCACACACCTGCGGTATGCCGTAATCCAGGGATCCTCCTCTGCACACACACACACACACACAAGGAGAGAGAGAGAGAAGGCAACCACACTCATCCATATGTGTGGATTGTCCAGGACTCACCCCAGCTGACGGCAACGGCGATCTGCTGCCCGCGGTAAGTGAGAAATACCTCCGGCCTGGGCCGTCCGCTTTCCTGGCACTTGACCTCGAGCACCCGCATCACCTCCCTCGTGAGTGCGGCTGAGGCGAGTGTGATGGCTGCCGTGTACCAGCTGCAGCTGTGCGATGAGGGCGGACACACCTCTGTCAACAGCTGACATGACACAGACATCAAACAACACATACAAAGGGACTCTCCCCCCCCCTTCTCTCTCTCTCTGTGTGTGTGTACCCATGCGGCCGAAACGACAGGCCCGTTCGCTGGAGGACGTCTGACGATGGCCCTGAGTGCTGTGTCCATCTCGCCCTGCAGCAGGTTGACCCCCAGACCACTGAAGGGCACCGTCACGACCAGCGTGTTGCAGTGAAGCAGATCGTCTGCACCGCCGACACACACACGACACCAGCTGGTGTGTATGTGTATGTTGGTGTGTGGGTGTGGGTGTGGGTGTGGCTGTGGGTGCATGCCTACGTGGCAGTGATTGTGCGGCAGTGTATTTCGGGTCGACGTCGATGACCAGCGGCTGGCACGGGGGAGAGGGGCCGCTTCGGTTGCCGTCAGAAAACACCACCTGCACTCGGAACTGCATCCAGCCCCAGTGGATGGGCACCGACACACTGGCCTTCGGTGCGGGGCTGTGGGTGTCCGCCGCCCACTCATCGCTCGGACCACACGCACTACACACAGCACAACACAACACAACACAACACACGACCATTGATCCAGTGCACTGTCTGTCTGTCTGTCTGTCGTACTCATTGCTGGTGCAGCACGTGATTCGGTGGCCGTAGACGTGTCTGGCCATCCTCGGGGGGATGGACCAGTGCACGGCGATGGACCGCTGCCCGTCCTTGACGCCACGGGGGCTCGCTTGCACATTGAAGGGGGTGTCGCAGTCACCACCTGCACCCACCGTCAGGCAGACACGAGTCGTGCAAAGGCTCGGCTCCGCGGTCTTTGCTATGTCTGTTTGTTCGGTGCATACCTCCTGCTGCTGCTGCTCGTGTGTGTGTGTCGTCGAGTGAGTCGTCGAGCGCTTTGACGGCTCGCGTGACGACGCCGATGGGCGAGTCCGACATGAACACCCTGCCTCTCTGTAATTGCAGAAAGACATGCCGGCAGGCAGGCAGGCAGGCAGGCAGACATACGCATATACCTGTTTGTGGTGCTCTTTGGCCATGAAGTCCGGGATTATCTCAGGCCGCAGCGTCTCGGGCAGACGCACCGGCACGCCCGTCTTGGGAAAGTCCACCTGAGAATGAATGGAGTGTCGTGTGTGGTCTGTGTGGTCTCATATCTGCCTGCCACTGACCGCTTGGCTGTGCAGCTCAGCCAGCCTCATGCAGTGGGGGTGCAGGGCCTACAGAGGCACACACACACACACACACATGATACCGAATACTGAAGGCTTGTGTGTGGCTGTGTGTGTGGGTGACCTTTCTGTGTGCGTAGATCTCCGTCTGGTGCGGCATCGCCAGACACGCGCGGGCAAACACTGAGTAAGTTGCAAAGAGGATACACACAGATGCGACAGCCCCACACAGTCCCATCTGCTCACCGCCGAGATTGTAGTGGAGGAAGTGCCGCACAATGTAGCTCTGCAGACACATTGACACACACACAGCACACACAGAGAGAGAGAGGAGAGGAAGCCCCGCCCTCCCCAGCCACGCACCCACCTTCTGTGCGCGTCTTCTGCCGTCCCTCGTGTCCATATTCCCTTCAAAAGGCACCGCTGCCGGCTGCCCAACGCTCCGATCAGGCACGTAGCACTCGGCTGCTGGCGGGTTGGGCGTCGTCGGGATCAGCCGGCCGTCCCACAGTATGTGGAACTGGTCGCCGTCTAAGTCACCACCTGCACATCCACCTGTGTGTGTTGTGCTGTGTAGGGGGCTGCCTGTGGGGCGTACCAGAGAGTTGGTTCGGTATTGGTCGGTCGCCACGGACAGGGAAGACGATGACATTGACGAATGGCCTCAATTGTGGGTGGTCGACGGCAGTGAGCACCCGGAGGTCGCCCGCATGCAGACAGGGGTTGCGCGCAACCACCACTGGGCCTGTGTGTGTGTTTGCGACATACACATACACATCATTATCATTACCAGGGGTGGGTGGGGGGTGGCTGGACGTGTTGTTGGGAATGATACCTGTGATGACTTGCCGCCTCGTGTCGTCAGGTCTTTGGATCTGGATGAACACCTGGTCGGCTTCGAGCACACCGACCTCGTCAGACACGCCGAAGAGATACGCGCCTTCCTGCACACACACAACACACACACACACACACACAACACACACACACACACACAGAGAGAGAGAGAGAGAGAGAGAAACCGCCGCTCTCTCTCTCTCTCTGTGTGTGTTTGTGTGTGTGTATGTGTACGTGGATGTAGAGGTGTGTCTTGATGCGGACGTCCTTGTGCATGTAGCGCAAAGCAGCGCGGATGCATGACCGCAGAAAGGGGTCATCCGACGGGCAGAAACCCATCTGCAGGGCCTACACATCACACACACACATACGACGACCATGCATCACCACATGCCTCTCTCTCTCTCTCTGTGTGTTTGTATGTGTGTGTGTGAGGGTACCTGAACAATGGTCTTGCGAAAGGAGTGCTGTGTGCCGATCCTCTGGATGAGCCGCAGCGCCGCCCCCTTGTGTCTGAGGGCGTTCAGCCCGTCGCGCAGGTTGTCCTTCAGAATGGCGACAAACATCTACACACCACACACACACACACACACATAACCACACGAACGCTACTAAAGGTGGGTCGCTGTGTGCCTGGTGCGGTATGCCGCGAGTGTCGAGCATCATGATGATCTCGCGGTTGAGGTTCTCGGGCAGGAAGCGGCTGACACACCCACACACACGCACACACACCCACACACACAGAGAGAGAGAGAGAGAGATACACGCGCGTGT